TAATAATAATAATAATAATAATACAAACAACAACAACAACCGTGAAATAGTAATAATACAAATACAAATTATTTTAAAACATTGATAATAATATAATTCATGAACGTGCTCGTGCACGGTCTCATACTATAGAGTAAACCAGACCTAAATATTAACATCATTGTGGTCACACAGACTTATAAGTGATGCAGTACAAAAGAAAACAGCGATCGGAGGTAGAAAGCACATACTACGATCAGCACTACATTGAGAGACTAATTCCCACTCATTACTTTGAAATTTACACAGCCGGAGTTTCCAAGAGAGACGCTGGCTGACAATTTCAACGAAAGGGTTTTTGGTTATTCGTATTAAGATTTTCTACAAGCCTGGGCGAACAGAAAAGAAACTTGTTCGTGTTTTCGAAACCGGCAACCCCTGTATAAAAACTCTTGGTGAGCACTGAAAGAAAGGCATGTACAGGGAGCCCTTCAAAGCATTATAATACTGTTACTTAGATTTTCCACAACGTTGAGAACATGTCTGGAAACCAAATTAATCCTGGAGCTTTTTGGCAAGTTGTGTTTCTGGTTTATTTAGAAGTCAATGCCGGTACTGTGTATTAAGCTTTCTGTTTGCATTGTGCTTTTTAAAGTATTCATTGTTTCCTTTGTTTCCTACTATTTTCTTGTAAAAGTCGCGTCTCATAATTTCTATATTTAAACAGCGTTTAAAAATTCCCCTAAAGAGCTGTTTCCATTTTCTCTAGAGTTCGTCCGCAATGACGTCAGAAGAGATGCCAGAGAGAAGGAGCAGAAGTCCAGAGTCGCCACCTCTCTCAGATCGGAGCGCGGACTCCCCCCAACCCCCTTCACCTTGTGGCAAAGCTAAAGCAGATATCCCCTCCAGCCCAAGCCCAGACGAGGAAACCAACTTAGAAACATCAAGATCTTCCCCTCCTCTTCCACCGGCCCCCAAATTATCCTTCTCCATCGACAGCATCCTCTCTACCCCGTTCGTCCCAGCCCCAAATTCCAACAAAATTGACGAAATGGACAGTTCGGAAGCTTCACCTACTGCTCGAAATTATTGGGCGGGCATGAAACCGAAACTGAGAATTCCCAATCTGGACTTTGACTCATCCTCTAGAGGAGCAAGGATGCTGAACAAATATTTCGCAATGCCGCTGATTGGGGGAAGAGACGAGAAAGATAACTTCAAGGCTGGTAGCTCAGATGATGACACAGATGACAGGAATGAGAGTAAAAGATTTCACTTTGAATACAGAAAGAAAAGATACGGCATCAGTTCGAATGACTATGCTCTTGGAATGTCGGGAAGTTTTAACAGAGAAGGCTTAGAACATCACCAGTCTGGCTCGAAAACAAATGACGACAGCGATGATCTCGATGATAATGACGAAACACAGGACGACGAAGAAGAAATACAGAGGAAGTTGAGTAATACGTCATCAGTGAGCACAAGCGGAACAACCATCAGTAACTCCGGAACAAGTCTTGCTGGGTTCTCAGACACAAACAGAAAGCTCAGCTTTGGCTCTGATATCGGCTCCAACTCGTGCGCATCCAGCAGAGACGGCAGCTTCGAGTCTGAGCTGTTGCTGCGAAGTCCCAGCCCGAGGAAGAGAAATGTCTGCCGCATGGGCGGCTTTCCCTACAGCTACCCACACAGGGGCAGACCAATGGATGTCAACAACTATGACGTCTGCAATGCACTCAGATACAGGTAAGAAAAAATTCAGTTCTCGTTGTAGGTCTTAGAAAGCCTTGCTGCGAGTGAGGCATCTAATAGGCGATGTTACGAGTATATTCAGCTCGAAAGACATGTCGTGGTTCAAGCAAAGTCAAAATACTATTGGTCGAGAATTACGTAATAAGGGGAAGTATCTACGTTGACTGAAGTCTCACCATACAAGACATATATTTTATCTTTGTACAGAACTACTCAGAGCTCTAATCATAATATTTTATTGGGTGAAATCGTTGGTTCCTTAACAGAGTATAATGATAATTATGTTGAAACGTAAATGATGTCTCAATCAAGGATTGCTTTGAAGATCGCTGTTCTAACAACCCCCCCCCCCTCTCTCTCTCTCCTTTTTGAACCCAATGCGTGTCTGCAGTAATGGCTTCTGTTCATTTCTTTCTCCATTTCATCACTTGGTAAAAAATAGTATTTAAAAAATGACAACAAAGATATGATTATGATGATGATGATGATGATGATGTTGATGATACTCTTCATACTGCATTCATATTTTCTTAGACTTTCTTGGTTGTTATGGTTAAAAGAGTCTTTCATTAACACGATGTCTATAAGTGTAAAAAATATTTGTTGTCACTGTTAATAAACATCTGCCTAGGTGGATGGTCGGTTGACCCGTCAATGTCATGAATGTTAGAGTTTAGTTTCTAATTTCGCAAACTTCCTGTTAAAAATACATACCATTGTCTGGTCTTAGCTTATAACGAAGGACGACGATACTTCTGCTCCTGCTGCAGCTGCTGTTATAGCTGTTGCTGTGAATGACGACCATTTTTGGGTACATTTTCAATTTAAAATCACTGGCAAACAATCAAGACTCTCTCTCCCTCTCCCTCCCTCTCTCTCTTTCTCTCTCTCTCTCTCTCTGTATCTCTCTCTCTCTCTGCATCTCTCTCTATCTCTCTATCTCTCTCTGTATCTCTCTCTCTGTATCTCTCTCTCTCTCTCTTTCGCTCCCCCTTTATCTCTCTCTTTCTCTTTCTCACACACTCTCTCTCTCTTTCTCTCTCTCTATTTCTATCTCTCTCTCACTCTCTCTCTCTCTCTC